AAATTTTGGTCAATGACATGAGACAAAGTATATGTGAACTGCTGTATGAAAAGTGAATTTACTCTGTAAATCTTCACCCAAATCCTAATAAAAAAAAAAGGTTGGGACTTTAGGCATATTCCATCCTGAGACAAAATTCCTCTTCATCTGTGAACTTGTGAAATCTAGACTATAAATTATCTGTTTCCCAAGTACAATGGTGGGACAGGCATAAGGTAGACATTTCCATTACAAATGGGAGAAACTGGAGGGAAAGAAGGGAAAACGGGCATCAAACAAGTCGAAAATCCAACAGAACAATTGACATTAGCTCTCAACGCTTGAAAATAGCCCACTGTTTTCTGAGATCATAGTGGCAGTGCCCCTGCCCTGCAGACTCTGGATTGGCCATTCTGTCTGGATTCTGGGTGGAGGTTCCTTGGGTCTGGGCTTTAGCTCTAGGGTCACTGGGATGACAATTCTGCTCCTTCAGCTTTGGGCAGCCCCATCCTCCTACTCTGTCTGACTGGTGACTCCACCTCGTTACCCTGGAAGGCCTCGTTCTTCTGCTTGGGCATGGCAGCCCAACCCCCTCATATTTGGGCAGAGGATCTGGCCATCCCCCCTGGCACTCATGAATAGCAGCCCTTACACTTTGAAACTGAGTTGGTGAATATCTGACTCTTTGAAACCTAGGAGGCTATGGCCTCACTTTTTGAGATCCTGCAGGCCACGTTTCCACCCTTTCAGACCGCAGTGGTCGTGGCCCTACCCTTTGAGAGTGAAGTAGCTCTGTTTCCTAGGCTCCATCTCTTCTGCTTCTAATTCCTAGTTCCTTGACCTCTTGGCCCAACCTTTGCCCTACTGAAGGAAGTTGCTACAAAGCTCTTTAGCACAACCAACAAGTACTCAGAGACATCCCATTCCACCATTGTAAGCTTCAGCCTGAAGGCGCTCAGTTCTCTCACTCTGTGGGACAGCAAGCCTAGCTCTGCAGGCAAGTATCCAGAGGCACTCCATTCTTGGTACCAAATTCTTTGTTATTTAGTGCTGCGGTAACAAAATACTACAAGCAGATGGTTTTCACAAACTGAAATTTATTCTCTGTTTGAATAGAAAAGTTTAGAAGGCTAGAAGTCCAAATTCAGGGCATCAGCTCTAGGGGACGCCTTCTCTCTCTGCCAACTCTAGGGGAAGTTCTTTGTCTCTTTTCAACATGTGTGGGCCCAGCATTCCTTGGAGATCTCCATGTATCTTGGCCTCAATCTTCCCCTGGATTTAGGAAGTTCTGAGTGCAGGGACCCTGGGTCCAAAGGACAAGCTCTGCTCCCAGCTCTTCTTTGTTGATGGTATGAGGTCTCTCTCTATGCTCCATTCTCTGTCCTTTTATCTCTTATAGGATAAAAGGTAATACAAGCCACACCCCAGGCAAACTCCCCTCACACAGGATCAAGGTTGTGACCTGAGTAAGGGTTATAATTTAAGTAAGCGTGATACATCCCACTCTAATCCTGCCTCATTAACATAATAAATACAACCTAATCCTCTTCAACACATCCTAATCCTACCTCAATTTTCAACTGCCTCACACGTGTGTGAAAGCTGGACAAGTAAGGAAAACTGAGGAAGAATTGATGCATTTGAATTTTTTATCATGTTGGCAACAAATATTGACGAGACCATGGACTGCCAGAGGAACAAATCTCTCTTGGAAGAAGTATAGACAGAAAGCTCTTTAGAAGCAAGAATGGCCAGACTTCGTCTCACCTACTTTGGTCATGTTATTAGGAGGAACCAGTAGTACCTGGAGAAGAACATCATGCTTGATAAAATAGAGGGTCAGCAATGAAGAGGAAGACCCTTAAGGAGATGGACTGACACAGTGGCTATAATAATGAGCTCAAGCATAGCAATGACTATGGGATGGCTCACAACCAGGCAGTTTTGTTCTGTTGTACAAAGGGTCTCTATGAATCTGATACAACTCCACAGCACCTAACACCAACAACAACCCTACCTCATTAACCACAGACAGAGGTTATCATTTACAAGACATCGCAAAACAGAAGATAATCATATAATACTGGGAATCATGCCCCAGCCAAGTTGACACATATTCTGGGGGGATACAATTCGATCCAAGTTGTTGTTGTTAGGTGCTGTCAAGTTGGTTCCGACTCACAGCAACCCCATGCACAAAAGAATGAAACACTGCCCTGTCCTACACCATCCTCACAATCATTACTATGTTTGAACCTACTGTTGAAGTCACTGTGTCCATACATATCATTGAGTATCTTCCCTCTTTTCGTTGACCCTCTACTTTACCAACCATGATGTCCTTCTCCAGAGACTAGTCCCTCTTGATAACATGTCCAAAGTAAATGTGATAAATTCTCACCATCCTTATTTCTAAGAAGCATTCTAAGACAGATATGTTTGTTCTTCTGGCCGTCCATGGCATATTCAATATTCTTTGCCAGCACCATAATTCAAAGGCATCAATTCTTCAGTCTTCCTTACACACTGTCCAGCTTTCACATGTATATGAGCTAAGTGAAAATACTATGGCATGGGTCAGGCTCATTTTAGTGCTCAGAGTACCATCTTTGATTTTTCTACACTTTAAAGAGGTCTTTTGCAGATTTGCTCAATGCAATACATCATTTGAGTTGACTATTGAGCTCTGGTAGCATAGTGGCTAAGGCACTTGACTGCTAACCAGAAGGCTGGCGGTTCAAACCCACCAGCCACTCCTCGGAAGGAAGGTTGGGCAATCCTACTTCCGTAGTGATACTGCCTCGGAAACCCAAGGAGGGGTCGCTATGAGTCAGGGCTGACTCGACGGCACATAACAACAACAACAACAATTGCTTCCATGGGTGATGACAGTGGATCCAACTAAAATGAAATCCTTGACAACTTCAATATTTCCTCCATTTATCATGATGTTTCTTACTGGTCCTGTTGTGAGGAATTTTATTTTTTTTTTTATGTTAAGGTATAATCCATACTGAAGATTATATTATAGTCTTTGATCTTCATCAGTAAGTGCTTCGAGTCATCTTCTCTTTCAGCAAACAAGGTTGTACCATCTGCATATCACAGGTTGGTAATGAGTCTTTCTGCAATCCTGATACCACACTGTTCTTCACATAGTCCAGCTTCTTGGATTATTTGCTCAATATATAGAGCGAGTAATTCAATACATGACAACTGTTAAGAATAAATGTGGTCCTAGCCTCCCAGTTGAAGTAAACATTATAGGTAGTAAACTTCTGCAAGAAAGCAAAGAATAACTTTCCTAGTGTTTCCATGGGATACATGGATCTTTGACTCCCTTGCTTCTTCCGAAGGAGAATTAAATTCTTACGGGTAAATTTTCTCTTTTTGTGTAAAACAAAAAAACCCCAAACTCAATGCCATCAAGTCAATCCTAACTCATAGTGACCCCTCCTTGGGTTTCCAAGGCGGTATCTTTCTGGAAGCAGATTGCCCAATCTTCCTTCCGAGGAGTGGCTGGTGGGTTTGAACTGCCAGCTTTCTGATTAGCAGTCAAATGCCTTAGGCACTACGCCACCAGAGCTCACACACTTAAAAGAATCCAATAGTCCACCTCTTTGTATAAAATCAAGAGTATTGACAAAAGCATGGGAGTTCTTGCAATTTAAGCATTAGTAATAACAACAACCTATGGATCACAATAGTCTGTTTCTCAACTGATGATGGGGATGGCACAGGACCAAAATGGACAGTGCTTTTTCCATTGTGTAGGGGTCTCCACAGGTCGAAGGGCTGACCTGATGGCAGCTAACAACAACACAGGCACATAGGCAAGAGACACTCATTCATTTTAACTGTGGCTTTCTTCCCTTAGATCAGCTGTAAAGGAAGAAAAATATAATCAAAGTTGGTAACAACTTATTTGAGGTCTGTGTTAGCAGTTTTATGCTTAATACTCCCCAAATAAACAGCACTTCTATACCAATTCTCATTTCTGGTATTGTTCCAAAAGTATTTTTTTCCAGTAATATACCTCGTAAAATTCAATTACTTCATAAATACTGCTGTTCTTAATTGCTATTTGAAAAAAATAAATAAATAAAAGCCCCCGAAAATAAAAGTCAGATGATGGATGTCATGTCATCCTCACCAGAGCTGTAAACACATCCTAAAGGAGCACAGCGGCAATCACAATCTGCAATCTTGACTCAAGGGCAGAGCAGTACCACTCCACATTTGCCCATCAGGTCATATTCACTGGTACATGGAAATCACCAGGTAGTGAACAAAGGGGGAACTTTTTGCTATTATTTGAGTTAAACGAACATAATTATGGCCTCTAACACATAAGGCAGACAGACAAAGCCTTTTATCAAAGCCAATTTATTTATTTATTTAGTGAGGAAATCATTCCTTTACTCATTCAGTATTTACCAAGCCCTGACTATGAGTGTAACACTGTACTAGGCACTTACAAACTTTCATTTATAGGTAGCCCCTAGGTTACAAACCTCTGATTTATGGACAACCCCTACTAGCCCGTTAGTAAATTTGCCCTCATTTTGAAATGACTGAACCAACCCCTCAAACCAAAACCAAACTCACTCCCATTGGATCAATTCCAACTCATAGCGATCCTCACTGGGTTTTCAAGGCCATAAATTTTTAAGGATACAAACTGCCTCATCCTTCTTCTGCAGAGTGGCTGGAGGGTTCAAACCATCAACCTTCTGGTTAGCAGCCAAATGACTTTAATACTACACTATCAGAGCTCCTTGAACCAAACCCTACTGGCAACAAATTCTTCATCACAATCACTTTCACTTGCTGCAGGTACAACATCAAAGCCAATTTATATTCATGAGAGAGTATTCAATAGCAGTTGATATGGAATCAAATTCTAACAGGGCAGTTACCCACATGCTACCTGTGTTGGTGAAAGGAAAAGAATGTTGTGGGAATACCTCTTAATACAACCACTTTATATTATGCAATGATTACTACTTTTATAAAACTTAGTAGTATCAAGTGAAAGAAAAACCTATCTTAGCCTTAATAATATTTTACTGTGAGCCAAGTCTTTCTTTTTCCACTGATTGCTGCAGATAGAGGTGAAGCAAGAAGAAAATTCAAGGAAAAAGGAATTTAGGCTTTTGGGTGTGGTATATTGTTTTCACCTATTATTATTATTAAAAATATTAGTAGTACTTAATATTCATAAGGGTCAAAAAACTCAAAATGTTCACTTAAAACTCATAATTATTCAAAGGAAATCAGCATTCATCTTGAAGAAAAAGAGGGGAAATTATTTGAGCTCTTTAGGAAACAATTCAGAATTAAGAGACACTACTAGTCCCTTTATTTGTAAGATCTCTTAAAAAATCACAATTTCTGCCTAAGAGACTTTCCCCAAATGAAGTTCCTTAAATTTATATAAAGCCCGTAAAAGTAATGGGACTCTAACAGTATGTGGTCATTTCCCTGCATTTGGCAATCAACGTAATACATTCCTCACGGAATTTATGGAAAAGCAAATATGAAAGATGATACAATGTATACTGTCATTCTATAGTGAATAATTACAGAAACGGTTTCTCTGGGCATATTGATCTTCTTGAATTATTTAAAAGGCTTATGACTGCTAACCAGAAGGCTGGCAGTTCAAACCTACCAGCTACTCCTTGGAAGGAAGGGTAGGTAATCTACTTCTGTAGTGATGATATATCCTCAGAAACCCAAGGAGGGGTCGGTATGAGTTGGGTTCGACTTGACAGCAGATAACAACAACATGAATTACTGAATTCAATTGTACTTCATATTTATACTTAAAATAGGGATAAAATACACAGAATACAGAGTTTCAGTTTAATTCTGTGTTCTAGCAGACCTGAGTCACCAACTGGCTTCTACTCTTTAACTGGGTATCCTCAACTCCCAACACCAGTGAAATCTGAGATCAGTAAAAATGACTCAGAGATAACCAAACCCATTACCAACGAGTTGATTCTGACTCATAGTGACCCTACAGGACAGAACAGAACTGCCCCAGAGTTTCCAAGGCTGTGATCTTTACGGAAGCAGACTGCCACATCTTTCTTACACACAGTGGCTGGTAGGTCTGAACTGCTGACCTTTTGGTTGGCAGCCAAACACTTTAAGGATGCAAACCAGGGCTCCTACTCAAGGATAAGTAACCATTAATAAAGGTAAACAAGTGAGAATGCCCACATTTCAAGGCTTTTTTCATATTATGAATACTTACCATATACTTATTACATACTTTTTTCATATTATGAATATATATTATAATACTCAGAAGTGTAGGTTGTAGAGCACTACCTTGGACTTTTTGCTTAAATCTAGGAATGATAGCAGCAGCAGAGAAGGGACTCGTGCCTCACCAATCAAAACATTCACCAATGAGATAATTGTCAACAAAGACTCTTACCTGAGCTTGACTTGCTCCATTCCCACTCCCATTGCCACCTCCATTGCTCCCTCCTCCTCCAGCCCCCTGTTTGTGCTGCTGGGATCCCGTCATCTCAGCCATCCTCCTTTCCATCTGCTCCAGTCGTTCTAGGATGGACATCCTGAACTGGTTATCTAGGGCAGAACAGGAGGAAGAGTGAGGTTGTGTTCTGGAATAAGAGCAGTTAACGTGTGCCTATTCAAGCTTGCAGGAGTGGCATCCAAGAAAGACTGTCATTAACCAAGTCACAGAGACTTGCCCTGGCCAGTTCTCTCCAGCATGGTAGTGAGTCCGTCACCTCACACAAGATTGCAGCATCCCCGGTTGCCCCAAATTCTTAGCCAAAGAAACAGGTAACTCCTTTTTATCAAAGATTCCTGTTTCAAGTTCTTAGCACCCCATTTCTTTGCAAATTCCAAATGGCAGTATTGAAGAGATCTGGTAGATGGGCTCTTACAGCCATCAATTTAATTTAAATCAATAGAAGAAAGCAATTACAGTGAGTGAGGAGGAGACATACATACATACATATATAGTATATGTATTATCCAAATACTGAGTTGTTACACAAACAAACAAAAAAGCAAAATAAAATAGATTTTATTTCCTGATCCAGGCTTTACAAACCTTTACAAACCCATTTTGCATTACAGTATTCACTGTCTGAAATCTCTACACATTTCTTCTTATATTTTGTCATCTTTTCAGAGACAAACACAAATAAGCACTTGATATTTGCATAAGGCCACCATCAATCAGCATGTTACTGTTGGAGTTAGATTGTAACTCAAAGAGAAAATATTTGATTCTATGATTCTTTACTGAGATTACAATTTACATTACACCCACGTGCACATACACACATATTAGAGTTGTGTTACATACATACGTAAATAAAAGGAGTTAAACTCATTATTAAAATCATTAGCACTTACATTCATTCAACAAATTTCAATGAATGCTGTGCCAGAGAGTTGAGAGTGGACACAACAGAAAGGACCTCTTCCTGCTTTAGTGCAGTCAGACTGTGACAAGGGGGAAAGGTAGGATAATGTGATGAGTGACGGCGGGGGGAGGAGGGAAGGAATGCAGAAGTCTGACGAGTCATGACAGGTGACACCTGAGCTTGACCAGAATGCTGGGGAGTCAGATAAGGCAAAAACATTCTGGAGCAAGGTAATAGCAAATGCAAAGGCCCTGAGGCAGGGCAGTCAAGGGGCAGAATGCTCTGTGGCTGAACTGCAGTGAAAAGGTAGTAGATGAAGATGAAATTGAAGAGGTAGGCGGGCCCAGATAGTGATAGCTGTTAAGGGCTCTGGAGTCAGCTTGACAGGTTCAGATCCTGCCTCTGCCATATACTAGCTGTGTAACAGTGAACAAGTTACATTCTGGTGCCTCAGTTTCCTCACCTCTTAAATGCAGATGGTAACTCTGCTTACCTCAGAGGGTGGCTTTGAGAATTAAATGAATTAACATATGTAAATGCTCAGCATTCTGGCTCAGTGTGCCGTTGTCATCATCATCATCTCCAGATAAAAGAATTAAATGACTTTAGAAATTGGTTGGGAGTCCCTGGGTGGTGCAAATGGTGAATATGCTCAGCTCCTAACAGAAGGCTGGAGGTTCAAATCCATCGAGAGGTACCTTGGAAGAAAGGCCCACTGATCTACTTCTGAAAATCAGCCATTGAAAACCCTCTACAGCACAATTCTACGCTAACACACATGGCCTCACTATGAATCACCATTGATCGGATGGCACCTGGTGGTACTGGCAGAAACTGGTTGAACAGCTGTGGCAACATATTTCTCCTTCACATTGATAATGGCATAACAATTTTCAAAGTACAGCCATTTGAATCATGAAAAGGAATGATCTAGAAAAGTAGTATTTTGTCAGTGTTCCTGACCATCCTAACTATAAATTCCAACACAAGTGAGCAAAGCTTATTAATTCTATAGGTGCTAGCATTCTACATGAAATAAAACAACAGACAGAGCCACACTTCCAGAATGCTTTGTACAGGCCAGGCACCATCTCACTGTTTTACCTACAGTAATTCATTTACCCTTCACAACATCATGGAGAGACGTAGTTATCCCCATTTTACAGATGAGAAAACAGAGGCTGAGAAGGTAATGTGTCTGGTACTAGAGCACCACAGCTGAACCACTATGCAACAGAAAGGAAAAGTAGAGTAAGTTATGGAAAGAGAAGCACCACAAGCATTGGCCAGTTTTGCCCTTGGGAATACAATACTCTTACTCTCTAGAACATCCAGCTATAGTAAAAACACAGTAAATACCTGAGTGACAGGAAAATTTTCAATACTGACTTAATTTTATTTCACTTTATTAAACCACTGAAACAACAGGAGGAAAACTGCTTATCAAGAATCACAATATTATTTTTTAATAAGCTGTTTCCAAGAACATTAAAAGAAAGCACCTTCGTCTTTTACAGTGAAAGGCCGCGTCTTGCTTCCAATATTACACGTGCAGACAGATGTGGTCAATCTTTGAGAAGCCTGCCACAAAATGTCTTTGTGACCCAGTCACCAGTGGGGAAAGTGACCCTACCATAAATACTGCACACAGCGCTTTCATCCTGTGACCACTCATGGAAAACCCAAAATGACTACAAGGGTGGCACTAGTATCATTACTCTGGACTCTGCGCCCCACCTTTAGATAACAGAGACCTTGCGGAAGGCTGGATTCCTCTACTTGAAGGCAGCTGAAGACTAAGTTCACCTTTCAGTTAGAGTGAGATTCAAAGCAGCCTTGCAGGTATCCTTTGTGGCACCTCTGTCAACTCTCTCTGCTTATCCCCCGTAATCCTAAATCAGCTAACCATTCATCTCTGAACCCACCCAGACAAACTCATGCGTCCCACTGAATGGTTTGGCTTCATTTTAAACCTCTATAGCTATGGCTTATTATTTCTTCTGCAAGCCTACAAATCTGGTACCTATTAAGTGAGTTTTCAGTATGCATTTCACTTGTTTCAGATCCTTCTGATGCCCAGTGGCCAAGATGAACATTTCATGTCACGAGAAGAGGCAGGCCGGCTGGCAGGCGGGAGGGAAGAGCTTCCCCCTGGGCTGCCAGCACGCTGCCTGTCAGGCGGCTTTGTTCCGATGGTGCTGCAGTGTGCTTGCTGCAGTGCGGTGTGCGTGTCATCCCCCTACTCCTGGGCCAGGGGTGGACACTGCAGAGAGTGACTTCTCTCTGGTATCAACAAGCCAGGCCCTGCCCATGGCATCCCCAGGCCCAAACACTCCCAACAGTGGAATGATGCAGCGTCTGCCACAGAGATGCCGGGTTTTGTTCCCTGTCTGCGATGTTAAGCACCATTCCCTGTTGCTACGCAGTTCACTCTCTCATGTTACTAAGCTGCTCTGAGAAGCAGTTCATGGAGATGCTCAGAAGCAATTATGCCTCTTAACAAAATTATATCTTGCATAACAGCATCCTTTAGCCCTGCAATTCCAGAAGGGGAGGCAGTGATAAGACAACAACCACAATGGAAATGACGGAGCCAGCCTCCAGAGAGCAGGTCTGTCATACTGTGCCGACCAGGAGTCATAGAGACTCTGCTCACATTTTCTTTCCTTTGAGCAGGGCCAGAATACACCTTCTCTGTTTGTGGCTTATTCAGTTAGATGGATAAAATGGTGTTCACATCGCCATTACTGGGAAGTCAAAGCAACAACTTTATGCTCATTATGGGATAACAGACTGTAACAGGCAAAACCAAAGGCAAACTCTTGTTTCAGACAGAAGTTCTCCAATTTGCAAGCCTCCTTGGATAAACCACATGATGACTCCTGGATCTAAAGATTAAGGCATATGTCTGCCTGGAACTTAAGAGTGTGAACCTAGGCATCCCTTCCTGAGACACAGTGCTTGTCCTCTGCTGTAGGCTGTACATCACCCTGGACCGATGGCTTCTGCTCATCCCAGGTAACTATTCCTCTGGACCACTGGTTCTCAGACTTTAGTGGGCATCAAAATCACCTAGAAGGCTTAAACACAGATTGCTGGGCCCCATTTCCAGAGTTTTTTACTCCATACATCTGGGACCAGAAATTGCATTTCTAACATCTTTCCTGCTGATCTAGGGCCACATTTTAAGAACTACCACTCTAGACACCTCCCTGTTTCCACAAGAGAAAAGAATGAAACCTCTCTTCCATCCAAGTGGAATGATCCAAGAACTACCCGCTTGAACAGAAGCAGAGATTCCTCCCCAACTTGGACACATGAGAACTGCATCATCCACACTAGCTCTGTCAACAATCATTGGGGGTACATTCTCTTCTCAAGCACACAGCCAAACAAGATCTGCCAACACTTGAAAACTATTTTAAATCCACCCACCTGCACTGCTCTCAGCAATGAATCAAGCCTACTCTACCATTCCTACCCTATCCTACCTTTTTAGTGTGCTTTCCTCTTCCCTCAGCTGCCTAAATGGGATGTCTGTCCAGGTGTCAGCATTTGCCTCTTACTTTTCTCCAAAGTAGTCATTTATTTGTATGGTGTCAGGGAACAAGGAAGGATACTTTCAACACACAGCATTTGTGTCCCGGACATGCGCACACACACTTGCACCCCATACAAAAAGAAAAAAAAATTGATGGCTTTTGCAGCATCTGGTTTGTGATTCATTCAAAATTTCTGTTCATGAACCCCTTCTACCTGCACCCCCTCTTTTAGTGGAAGTAACATTTTTAGATTGGCAGCTATGATATAATGGAAAAGTGTAATAGAGACAAGAGCACTAGGTTTAATCCTGTCATTTAATGGCTTTGGGAAAAGAATGAACACTCTGCACCTTGATTTTCTCATCTGTAAAATGGGGATATTAATATCTATCTTATTGTTCTTTGTTGAGGATGAAATAAATAACTAATATGTGAGATCTTTTTAAGTGGTCAGGATCTCAAAAGTCTAAGCTATGATTAAACTTGGGCTTTCTACTCACGGGGACATTTTTATAAAATAAACTTTTAAACTTTTGAATAATTTTCTATCAAGGGAAAAGTTCCAAAGATAATACAGTTCCCATATCCTTTCTCCAGTTTCCCTAATACTAACATCTTATTTAACCACCATACATTTTTCAAAATG